AATACCCCCACAGAGCGTTGAAATAGAAAATTATATCGTGTAGAGGTGACAAAACTTTCGGACCACCCTGTAGTGCAACCGTTTTAAAATAATGTAACGTTTTACAAGGAAAGTATAAAATCAAACCCTGGAAAAAGCGTTTACGAAGATAGATTTTTTTTTGCCGAAATTATCAGAACATCATCAAAACATTAATCTAAGGAAAAGTCGTTACCATGGCAACCTAGCTCCTTAAAAACGCAGCGGTCAATTTTAAACAATAACATTCAAAAAACATATCCGTCAATAAATCAGCTTGTTTTGTGCATAGGAATTATGTTAAAATAAAGTGTAAACATTGTGATTTGACATAGAAAAATAAAATAGATAAAAGGAAATTATGATTAGAAAAATAAAGTAAAAATGCGTATATCCAAAGAAAATAATTAATATGATTAAAAATATGCAGGGGGGGAGCAAAAGTAGGTATACAGTAATGAAAATCAAAACGGGCGCATAAAACATATGGTATTGATTAGACAAACATAGCAATAATAAACATATCAATAATAAACATATTAATCCTTCAAGTATTCAAACTTTTCACTCCCGGCATTCAGGCACTCGTCTACATGAGAGGGGGACACTAATGCACAGTAAGGCACAATGCTCTTTATCAGCATCAATTTCCTGGCAAGCCTCCCGTATCTACTGAATCAGAGCAACAACAGAACGTGATTTGCGTGCAAAAACATTAAATGAATCCTATAACCACTATTATAGTGCTAGAAATACTGGTATAATAATTACTGTATACCTACTTTTGCACATCTCTGTATAAAATGGGATTTTATATTATCTAGGTATTAAAAGTAAAAATTAAATTAAAAATGTATTAATGTCTGTCCTTCATTTGCCTATAGACGGCTGCAACATATACTTATGTATGTAGAGATTTTCGTATATATGTATCTATCTGTCTATATTTAACGATTTACACTATTTACATTGTTTGGACTCTTTTTACTCATCTTTGTTGACCTATTCACGACGTTTCGGCTGTTGTACGCTCCAGCCTTCTTCAGGTAATATACGTTGAAATTACGAAGCGAACCCTTTATTTAGACCACGGGTGTAGATTATTCTAGTTCCACGTGTCATGCCTTTTCTGGATATCTCAGTTTCAGTTGACTCCCTTTAGTAATTCAACTCTCAAACTATGTTTTTTTTTGTTTTGTTTTTTTTTTTTTTGTTCACCTCTGTTGAATTCACAACACTGTGGGTCAAGTCACTTTGTGGATTACTTCAACCAACGCTTTTATTCACTGGGCCATGTGTTCTTGTGGAACTAGAACAATCTACACTCACAAACTAAATAAAGGGTTCGGTTCAAAATTCTAACGTATATAACCTCCATATATATATATATATATATATATATATATATATATATATATATATATATATATATATATATTAGGGGATTTGAATAATCATAATTAATTCATCGAGTCTAGAAGAATCCTCAAAAGAATGCAGAATGCTGTGGACGGCCGTTTCGTCCTATTTTGGGATTTATCAGCAGTGCACATCCTCTACCGAGAATCGAACCTGGACTGTTACGATATGACGGAAGCGTCATACCCAATAGATCTCGGTTACAAAGAGGTAACAAACTAGACTCGTCAATGGTTACAAACTCACACTTCCTCCCCAGAGAGCTCAACCGAAATAAATTTTTCAGGAGCATATATTGTCATTCACAGACAAACTGTTTCGCTGTATCACAGCTCATCAATGTGGCTAGACATCCGGTTGCCTCTAGCTAGGATCGAAACCTGACTGAATTGGCGTCAGTCGGAGATTCTACCCCTAAGCGCACGTTGGCGCACGGCAGGGATGAAGGTGAATTTAAGCGCATTTATTTTTAGATAAACACACCATGACTGAGGGAACTCGATTCGCTATATATATATAGTGATTTCTTAGTATATTAAGGCATTTCGTGATGGGTATATTAGTGTATAGTGATTTGATGTTTAAACTAGGCATGTACATGTTAGTCATGCTTATGTATTGTATTTTTTGGAGTAAGTCACCCCAATGTTTGATGTGTATTGTACTGATGGTGCCTGGGAACGGGGTTAGGATTTTTTGTGATTGCTCTAGCTAAATTGTGGAGTGCACTGTTAATTCCGGACACAATGGGCCTAATAGTAATCTTGTTTGTGTGTCTTGGGTAAGCCATATAGTGTTGCCATAATGGGGTGTTTATCTCTCTATATATATAGCCAGCTACACTCTTTTTCTGCACAAACCTGTTTGATGAGGTCACTATCTGAGTCCTGTTACAGATACCTGTTAAGGTACATTAGTATTTGTTCAACGCCCACAAAGCCCACCTGTAGATTATACTGAGCGGACATTAGTTAGAGTTTCTGGGAGAGAACGCATAATCTATCATAATCTGTAATCTGGCGTATTATATTATGGGAGGTGGCGCCGTAACGACGAAACGCCGTACGTTGGGTCCGACGTAACCTGAGGACATTCTATATATCTATCTATCTATGTGTGTGTGTATGTGCTTGTGTGTCGGTGTGTGTGCGTGCGTGTGTGTATGTATGTATGTATGTATCGCCATTAAACGCCAGTGCGCTAGAAACGACGGTTCGATGACTTGTGAACTAATGCTAGCATCGTCAATGACAGCTTCTGAACAGTTACGTCGAGCCGATTTCACTCACAGGGCTTCATCTGCATGTGGTACGGAATTTATTTTGATATAATACGTCGCCACGAGGCGTTATATGAGAAAGACGGCGTTATTTCTTCACCGGCTGTATCGTCTGTGTCGTTTTCTGGGAAACTTCTTGCCCTTCATTATTGCTCACAAGCGTAAGGCACACTCGTGCATGCTTATGTAGGTGAGTTCCGACCTACATCGAAAATTAGGTTACGTCGCAAGAATTTCCGACGTAAGTCGAGGACCACACACACGCACACGCACACACGCATGCACGCACGCATATGTATGTATGTCGTGGCCGAGTGGTTAGAACGTTCGCTTTCAGAGCAGGAGACGCGGGTTCGAATCTCACCACCGTTGATTTGTCAGGAAGTGGACTCCCTGATGTTATCGGTGTGGAGGGGGCGATCCCAGCTTGTGGCATCTTTGGAAAGTGCCTGAAAACCATACCACGGGTTAACCCAAGCCTTGTGAGTGAAACTCGGCTGACGGAACCCTTGGGGTCCATCGATAGCTGTGCTAGCACGAAGTCATCGCAATCAAGGGTTTGAGTGTGCAGGGCCTTGTTCAGATTGTTGATCATGCTAAATAACACGCTTCTCTCTCAGAAACAAAAACTATGGTCAGTATAAACCACAGGGTGTTGGACAAAGACAAATGTACCTCAGCGCAATAGATCGGTATCCTCGAATACGAGTGGAAAACTATATATATATATATATATATATATATATATATATATATATATATATATATTGAGTGTTAGGAAATATGTCAAATTATATATGAGTTAAGAAAGTTAAATAATTTAATTAAAAATTTATTAAGATGTTTAACTAGACTATGTGTATGTCCTTACATTCATAAATACATAGATGGATATAATAATATATTTATATGTGTATTTAGTGGTTGATCTTTTTTATTTGGCAGACTGTCCTCATATATGTAGGTATGTATTTTCATCTATATGTATGTATGTATAGAGGTATATATTTTTCATATACATTTTTTTACACACACACACACACATATATATATATATATATATATATATATATATATATATATATATATATATATATATATATATCTAATGTTTATGAATTCTGTACTGGTGGGAGTGGGAAAATAATAGGTAAGTTATATTGTGGGCGATGTCACAGGGTCATCGCTGAATGTGCCCAGGGATAATCTTATCGTTAATCTGATGGTGAGATAATGGTCGATAAATAACGCGAAAGCGATAAAATGGCGCCTGGAATTTTTGGCAAGTAAAACGTTTTCGAAGCAAAAGATAAGTAACTTAGTCATTATTCACAAATCGTTTTTCTTATATGTCATTTTGCTAGCCAGCCGTCTTCGGAGTCCGAGACCCTACCAAAGATTCCTTCAGCCTCCTTCTTACCACTTTCTCTCTCGCCCTCTTGCTTTCTCTATCTACCCAAACACACACACATACATATATGCTAAACCTTACACCACGTCGATGTGTCCCCAATATATATGGTGACTGGCTAAGCATGGCTTAGATATGTCACAAGGCCACAAATATTGAGCACTCATTCAGAGATTGAACTCATTTGTAAATTAACTAGCGAGACAAGCTTGCTAACCATTGCACTACGCCGATAAATTATACATGGGTGAGCGTTTGGGAATACCAGGTGCTGTAAGCTTGGATGTGCGGCTGGTGTTGTACATAATGGCTCGAACTTGTTAATCAGGGAGATGAGTTTCAATTCCAGTTGGCTTCGTTATATTCACTTATGCTCAAATACCCTTATTCAAGTTTTGAATCCGCCTCTTATTTCCCCGAGCTATGGGTTAATTAGTAAGAATTGTATTACTAGGTCATTATTATTTCAAAAAAGAAATTCTTATATTCTGAGAATTTCGCTTTAAATAAGCTGCAAATGGATGATAAGACGAATCATCCAACCAATAGCCACACACACAGACACACACACACACACACAGACAGACACACACACACACACACATCTATCTATCTATCTATCTATATATATATATATATATATATATATATATATATATATATATAACCGAATGAGTAAATATTGGTAGATATACGAACGCAGGATTGTATACAAATATATATAACTACTTTAGAGTGTAAGAAAAAACAGTGCTCAGTGCTAAGTAACAGAGCTATTTAATATATATTTTAAGATATATGCATATCTTACATTAAGTGCACAGCTCCGAGTTTCATGGTGAAGCAATTTTCAAGTGCAATTAATGTAAGATA